GATTATAAAGGCATTATAGGGGGTAGAGATTATAAAGGCATTATAGGGGGTAGAGAGGGTTTAGGGTTTCCCAAAATTAGGGATACTTTTTTGTCTGCATCTCAGGGACATTTCCCAATAGTCCCAGCACAGAGTCAAGCCCTGCCTTCAACGATCTCAGAAGATGGATCCAGACAGTCTAATCGCCTCTTCCCCTTCACCACCCCAGACCCTGATTAATAAACCCCCTCCCTTTAATAGGGCCCTTAATAGGGCTTATAATAGGGATCCTAATATTTAGGCCCTTAAAAGCCCAATATAACCCCAACCCTAAACCCTTGACCCTAAATAGCGCCATTATGCTTTTCCATAGCCCCAATATGACTCCAACCCTAGGCCCTAAATAGCCCCATTATGGTAGTTTCCACCAATATAACCCCTACATAACCTCTTTATATACCGCATTATAATGTAGTAGTTTCCATTCTCTTCTCCATTATCCCAATATAACCCCTCCATAACCCTTTCATATATTGCACTATAATGTAGTAGTTTCCATTTTCTTTCCATAACCCCAATATTTACCCTACATAACCCCTCTAGATATCGCATTATAATGTAGTGGTTTCGATTTTCTTTTCCATTATCCCAATATAACCCCTACATAGCCCCTCTATGTACCGCATTATACTGTAGTAGTTTCCATTTTCTTTTCCATCATCCCCATATGACCCCCACATAACCCCTCTATATACCGCATTATACTGTAGTAGTTTCCATCTTCGTTTCCATCATCCCCATATAAACCCCACATAACCCCTCTATATACCGCATTATACTGTGGTAGTTCCCACTTTCTTTCCATTATCCCAATATAACCCCTACATAACCCCTCTATATACAGCATTATAATGTAGTAGTTTCCATTTTCTTTTCATTACCCCAGTATAACCCCCACATTCTAATGTAGTCCCATTTGATTTTCCATAACCCCAACATATGCCCGACATAACCCCAATATAATCAAGCATATGTTTCTGGAAGGCAGCAGCCGAGAAGTTGGTTCGCTGGATGCCTGGTGAATGATATCTGTGAGTCACTGCTATAGGAGATATGGGTGCCCATCGGGGTAATACTATTCTGTAGGGATGATGTAGGGTCCTATAGGGGTTATATTATGGATTTGGGGTTATATTGAGATAATGAAAAATAAAATGGAAACCACGATTTAGGGTTTAGGGTTTAGGTCACTACATCTTCTGAAGGGAGAGTTGCGGAGGATTGTTTACATAAACCTGGAAGCTCCCCTTAAGTTGTTGTGGGATTAGGGTTGAGGGTGTAGGGTTTTGGGCTGTAATTTGCAGGCTGCATTTGAAACATCGGGTGCGCCAATTGGGAGGGATGTTGTAAACAAAAGCCGACTGGTCACTACAAAGATATGTTCCCTTATTCGCTACTAAAACCCAGGGGACGCTCTTACAGCCTCAACCTGGTTTCCTGTCCCAACAGGTAAACTCACATACGTGACATATCTCTATGTGGGTTTTTCCCTGCGCCACGAAACCACAACCCACAAAGTCTCTTAACATAGTCCCTGCAAAAGCTTGTGCTCCCACCTGGCATTTGGGCCCAAGTTTGCACCTGGTTGATGGCTGAGCTTCTCCTGGCTCCTGGGATTTCCAGGTCGCAGAGCTTTGACATGAAAAGCTTGGGCAGGCTGATGCTTGCAACCATCAGGGTTTCGGGGTCAGGGAACGATGTGTGCTCCGCACAAAATGCAAAACGAGGGAAGGATATGTAGTGAGTAGTGGGAGGTTGTGGGGATCCCTTAAAGATTCTTCAGCGGTTCTTGTCAGAAATGCCCATTCAACCCCACCCCTGTAGCTTCCCATGTCATCCTGGAAGGATCGGCATGAGACTTACGATGCCCCTGCTTTTTTTTTGTTTTTTACGCAACTCTGCTGACTCAACCTTTCAGCCATGAGCAAACAGCTTTTTCGTGTTGGCGCAGGAAATCAGGGGTGCAAATTTCAACAACATCAGTTTGTCAGGCGCGCTTGGCCCATGACCCGACGCTACGAGTCAATTGCTGGGACAAATACTTGGGATGGCACTGAAGCTTGGCGCGCCCCGTATCGTCAAGACAAAGTGCTTGGAGGCCTTGATGGGTAAAGCTGCAGGTATCTGGAGGGGATCGGAATCTGAAATCAAGAGTTGTGTCTACCCGAGGTGGTGAAATGGAACCACAACATTTCGCAGCTTGCGAAAACTGTGCATTGGCAGAAAGCTCTCTCCTTGCTGCCTGCCATGCACCTCCACCGCTTGCATCCGGACAACGTCACCCAGAATGTGGCAATCCGCACCTTGCTGACGGCTGCAGCAAGCTTTGCATGTACCTGCCATTACCTGCATTGATGTGAAGATGAGGCGTAGTCCGCCGCATAATTTAGATTCTATGCAAGCCCGTTAGAAGCGAGCTAGCGCCAGCCCGTTGCTAGTGTGGCTAATGTTTCATTCGGGCGCAGTTGTTTTTCGCGTAACCGGGCTGTTGCAAGGTGTCTGTGCCAGTGCCAGCAAGTGGCAGATCGCCATGTGGTTGCTGAATTGCTGGCCAGATGCTGCTGACCTCATCGGCCACAGCTCAGCAATCACAGCGTGTAGTCGAGGACGGCAGTTGCAGCGGGCACTTGATGTGTTGGAATCATCGCAGAAGCTTAGCTTGGGTTCCGATGAAGTCCTGGCCGGCTCCCTCATCACGGCTTCAGAGAAGATGGCTCGATGGGATCTTGCACTAAACGTGCTGTGCTGCCTCAACCGCTCTGCAAACCTGGTATGTCATAATGCAGCTCTCTCAGCATGCGAAAAGGCATCCCATTGGACATGGAGCCTTGAAATATTGAAGCTACTCAAAGGCAGGTCTCTTCGTCCAGATGCTACGTCGTTCGCAGCCCTTGCAGAAGGCTGCCGGCGCAAGTCTAGGTGGCAGGTTGGTTTGGAAGTGTTCGGTTGCATGCGCCGGCATCGGGTCTTACCAGGCGGACGCGCGCTCTCAATCCAAGCGGACATGGCCTGCGCAGCGCAAGATGCGCGAGCTTACCTGAGCCTTTGCTCTGGCTTAGTCGCCATGGGGCTGTCAGATTGGACTAGGATCAGTAAAGGTCCTCTCCAAGATCCAGACGAAGGGGCCCCGAAACGCTTGGCTGACCTGGCAGGTCGCTTGCGGGCAATGGGTGTGTTGCACTCAGACCACAACCGCCAGTTCCTCCGCAACGTGGTGCAACCGGTGCTGACAGAAATGATGGCGCTTTTCGAATGCAACAAGCCCTTCTCCCAGCCGCGACCAGGGGTAAATATGAACGGCTACCCAAGCATGATGAGCTTGGTTGTTAGTGGCCTCGGCGCCATGGAGAGGGAAGTCTTTTCCCAAGTCAAGATGATCTTGAAACAAGGCAGGGGACAGCACAGACAGCTGCAGTGCAAGGGTGGCAGTGTGGAGGCCAATCCCAGTTTGCTCCATGAGGTGTATCTGAAGTTTAAGGCACAGAGGCGAAGTGCAGCTTTGAGTGTGAATCCAAGGCTTGGCAGCACTGCAAAGTCTGCAGCCCGCGCCTTGCGAATTTGGGACTTAGAACATGGCTAGAACTTCACGAGCATGATGACGTCCAGGTCTAGTTCTTGCATGCTGCTTGCACGCGCAAGGCCATGGTGCTGTATGCAGTCATGGATGGCCATGCTGGCATTTCTTGCAGCAACTTTGCCCGGGCGCCCAAACATTGTGCGCAACCTTTCCAGTATGTTGTCAGATATCACCTGGCATGCAATGCAAAGCTGCTCATAAAAAGGTAGCTCTGAACTTGGAGCGCAACATTCTCGACTCTCTGCGCGATCAGCTGCCGCCTCAGGTCAGACAAGTGCTCACGTTATGCTGCCAAAGCCTGTGCATGGTTCTTCGGCCTGCTAGGATAGTTTCGACTTCATTTCGCCAAAACCTTCATTGAGAGTAATTCGTAACTCATGCAGTAGGCGCATGTTTGCTCGCACCGCTGCCAAGTGCTCAGGCGCAAGAGAGTCAAAGCCTCAGGTGCTGCGGATTTCTTAAAATGAGGCTACGTCTCACATAATTCGGGTATATGGCTCCCGAGACGCATCAACAGGGAGTTTGGGAAATCTCCGCATGCTCCAAGGACGCAAATGCGGAGCAGATCCTCAAGTCAGCGCTGCTGGCGGGCTTCAAGGTCACCGAGCATACCTTTCACCAGTGCGCCAGGGCGGCAATCCTGTACGAAAATTGGTGGTGCATTGCAGTACTTGCCATTGCAGTACTTGCAGCATAACATTTACAAGCACAAGAAGCCTGGACTCACACAGCAGGAGCTGTAAGGTAATAACAGGATCTTGCCAGCAGGTATGCCAACAAGCTGGAGGGTGGAGCAGGTCGCGCACTCAGCCCAAATCCTTTGGACAGGAGGCGGCGGCGTGTTCAATTTGAACATGGGTGCTTTGAAAGGTTGTATACAATCTTTATCAAGCCCAACACAAGCAAGGCCTTACGCAGTCATCAAAGTGGTAGTGTAGTTTCCCCAAGAGGGGGACCCCAATCTAGACCCACAAATATGATGAGCCTTATTCTTTAGGGACCCCCAGAAGGGTATCCCCAATTTTGGGAAACCCCCAAGTGGGATCTGTAACTTCTCTCTTGGAGGCCGTGCCTGGGCAGCGTCTGGAAGCACCTGCTGCGCCGCCTGCCTTGCGGGCCCTGACGAGGCCATTCCCCCAAGTCATCTGAGCTGTAGTCTAAACTCCTTAAGTGGAGTTATGTAAGGGGTTATATAGGGGTTCATTACATACAGAGGAGAACTATATTGGTTCCTAACGGGATGCCAGGAGCTTAGACTGTGGTTCGTATGGGTATGGAAAGAGGATTGCCTGCTCCGTGTTCAAGATTACATAGGGTGATTTCCAAGATGATGCGTATACAATTCTTAATAGTGACTCACTCCATGATTCCTTCGTAATCCCGACATATCCCCCAGGTCCCCGACAGTACCATTGTTTTGAGAAACCTCCCAAGTCATCTGGGGAGTGTGCAGGGATTGCGCCAATTTGGCAACATTAAGGCTCTGCCAATTTAGCAAATGGATTCTTTGGGAGAATTGGTCGAGTAGTGTTTTGTGAGAGATGTAGGGCTTTCTTGCGGAGTGCTACCTGGCTTTGGACCTCAGCATGATGCCATATAAATAAAGGAGCCATCCTTGCTGAAACGGTTCGTTTGACATGCACATGGCATATGATGTTGAAGTTTCCTGTGTAGCTGCGTGATTTGAAATCGGTACTTTCCCAAGAGCCCAAGATATGGTGACCCTTGGGCCACGCCAAGCATACATCTAACATAGAGAGACTTGCTGTCCAGAAACCGTCAGCTTCCCATGAGAGCCATGGTCTAAACTCCTGAGAAGGGTTATATAGGGGATAATATAGGGATCCCAGGATCCCATTATAGGCCCTAGAATGGGAGCCCTCTATTATCCTCTATATATTTTAGGGGATATTAAGGGGGATACTAGGAGTTTAGACTATAGCTCACCAGGAGGGACGCCTCCGGCTTTTGATTGCGAACGCCAGGAGCTTGGCCTGGGAGCCAACTACCATATGGGTGGTTGTCAAAATTATGGTCCCATTTTGGGTACCCTAAATATTAGGTGCCGTATTATAATGGAGATCCAAAAAAAGACCATAATTTTGACAACCACCCATATGGACCATATAATACGGGGATTATAAGGGGCCATCTATGGGTAATGGAAAAGAAAATTGCAACTTAGGGCTTAGGGTTTAGGGCACCTCAGTCCTGGGTAAAAAAGGGTTATTATAATGGAGAATCAAATGGGAAAGAAAGTAGAACTTGAAATGGACGGTGTTTGTCTATTGGTTTATAGGGGTTCTACTCTTTCTCTCCCCAAATTCCAAACTTCCGGTCCCTCCGAAAAGCAAGTGTTCCTTGGAACCTGCAGTAGAATATGCACTCTCCAATGTTAAGAGGAGGATTTGCCACAAACTTGGAGCATGTGGAACGCTGTTTGGGCGAAGCCTCTCCAGCTGCTTCCAACTTCAGAAAGCTGACATGCAATCCAGTTCTCTTCTGGAGCCACCGTCCGTTTTTTGCAAGGTGGGTGACAGCAGGGCCATTCTGGGCAAGAAGGCGGGAGCTGTGGTCCAATGAGTACGGAGATTCGTCACTTGACCGCAGGATGGCTTTGCTGTGAGACTCTCAGTGGACCACCGCCCAGACAACACTGCTGAGAAAAGGCCTGCTGCGCTCTGTGCCGCAGATTCTGAGCTCGTTAGCAAGTGCTGGCGGACTGCAGCCCTCGAATTGAATTCTGTTATGCAAGAAGGCGAGTTGAACAGCAAGGAGGCACTGTAGCACCATTCGGTGGTGCCCACCGGGCCGCAACCTCGGTGAACAACTTGCATACAGAGCAGCAAGGCCATGCCTCCACTCACACGGCCGACCCTGCTGATCCCTGCTGCCTGTTTGAAAGCCATCTAGTTCTGTGCAGCTATTGCGGCTGAAATTTCCAGCGTTACAACTAGGCCTTTCCATCTCAGCAATGGTACTTACACGCGTTCTGGTCCTGGGTCTGATGACCCTGTCCAGTGGAGTCAGGGATGGTGTTGAGCTTCATGGGCTTCACCTCGAGTCCGCTCGTGGTCAAATCTCTCGCACCGTTCCCCTAAAAATCAATGCAGCCATCCGGCATGCAAAGGGCTTGGCGGCTAGTCACCTCAAGGAGCTGACTGCCCAGCAGGCATGGCTTCACGAAACTTGCAAGCTAGGTGTCAATAACCCACAGGCTTGGCAAACAAACTCAGACCCTGCGTTATGGGTAGATATGAGTAGATTTTAAGTCGGCTTTAGGAAGCATGGGGAACAGCTGTGCAGGCGGAGATGTCGGCAAAGCAAGCAGCCGCGCAGAAGGCCGCTGCGAAGCGACATCAGTTGGTAGACGATGTGGCGAGTCTCTGGGTTGCAGTTCAGAAGATTATGGAATTAAGTTGCCATGATGAGGATGTATAATATGCAAATAGTGTGGGTTAGTTGCCGTGGAATCTTACCCTCTGCAAGCTTTCCCCAAAAGGAGTCCTACAAAGACCGCGGTCCTTCCAAATAGGGCCTACGTGAGCTTTCATATTAGCTTTAGGTCAGGTAGTTTAAATTGCCAATTCAATTCTTCAAGCCTTATACATCCATATACCTCGACAGAACTCCTACTTACAGCAGGGTCGTTTAGATTCCCGAGCTCAGGTCATAAAGCCGAGCTGGAAGCTCAGGAGGAGCAAGCTCGCATGGCGCTCGTTGCGTTGGAGAATTCTACCGCGGCCAATGATACGAAGAGCAAGGAGGGAGCTGCTCAAAATTTGCCTCATTAGTACATAGGGTCTATATTGGGGTTATATAGGGATAATAGAAAATAAAATGGAAACTACTAGGGTTTATAGGGATTCTATAGGGTATATTAGGGTTTATTATTAGATCCTTCATAGGGACCCCATAGTCGCTTTGTGACCCCCAGCTACAAGGGTGGCCCCGCTGTTTGAGAACCCACTGTTGCAGCTTATGTATATGCTCAACTCCCCCTGCCGTTGACTGGAAAGGCCTGTTGCAGGAATACGTATATACTTTTGGTTTCCTACACAAACACTTGGCAATTGCATGAGGAAGGTAGCCCTAAGCTGAGGAGTCGCTTTTCCATACTGACATTACCTCAGAAAATTTGGCATAGAAAACAACCGTGTCAGGGGCCTCCCAAAAGGTATTCCTAATTTTAAGAAGTTACGAAATTTACATCACTATTCTAGGCTCAGCAAAACGCTTTTGCTGGGGCGAAGGCGCCCGGGATTTGCCTCGCCCACTGCGGCAAAAAACAAAACAACCTTCTCAGCATGCAAAGCCTTACAAAAACAATCGAAACCAACAACGGTGTGAGATCACTGATGCCAATCAATTCAATTTCTAGAACCTTTTGAAAACGACAACAGCCTAGGAAATGAAGTACCTCCCTAATTTGATTGAAGCTTCATTTGATTTCTGTTTATATAAGTTGTTTTATCAACAGCGTATACAAATCAAAGGTGGTCTCTGATTCTGATCACATTTCCCATAAATTCCGTTCATACAACCCAAACGCAGGCGAAACTTAGGAGATGGAGGTGGTCCGTAGTTCCGATTGAAATTTTTGTTGGGGTCCTTTTATGCAGGTTGCTTTCTCATTAACTTACAATAAGTTACAAACAATATAGGGGATCGCAAATTCTAATCTGATTTCCTTTGCGTTCGTTGATAAAAAGTCCTTGTATAAAAGCCATATGAAAAGATCAACATCTAGGAAATTCTGATTGACATCTTTTTTGGGTCTCTTGTATAAGTTCCTGTGTGAAGGCCTTATAACACCAAAAGCACTTAGGAAATCAAGGAATCCCGACTTCTAATTAAAGATTTCTGGGGCTCTTTCATACAGATTGCCTATGAAAAATCTTTTAAAGACAAAGGACTACAGCAAGACTGCGAATCCAAATTGCAGTTTTTCGGTTTTGTTTAGATGAACTTCTTTGTAAAAAACCTTACAAAAAGCCATCGACACCTAGGAAGTGAAGGAAACCCCTAGTTTTAATTAGATTTCCCTTTGGTTCCTTTGTATGACTGCCTTAATAAACGCCATATAAAAGAAACGTAGGTGTGGGAAATAGAGGACAGCACTACTCCCTGGTGATTTCCAAGGATATGCGGCTTGAGCAAATGTCTTTCAAGAAGACATCATTGCGCTGCTTCGTGTAGATTGTGAAAAGAATTGCTGAGTGTAGACTTGATGACTTACCAACCTTATGCAAGCCTTTTCAATCCTATGCTAACATATAACCCCTATATAGACGCTATTATAATGTATAGCTATATAAACCATTAAACCCTTTTACAATATATAACCCCTGTACAGACCCCATTATAATGGATAGCTATATATCCCCTATATAGACCCTGCGCCAGAGTTCCGGGCTTGCAAGGGCTGTTGGAGAAAGGAAGGTCTCACTGAAGGTTTAGGGTTTAGGATTTAGAGTTTAGGATTTAGGGTTTGGGGTGGGTCCTTTCCAAGCACCAGCACGATAGGAACAACACAACGCATTTTTGTTTAAATGGTGGTGGCTGAAAAAAGTTGTCTATAAGGCTTCCTAAGAAACTCGTTTTGATTGAACAGCAAATTTGTCCTACGCAAAAGTTGTTTCTTGCAAGGCCTGGGCTCGAAAACCAATTTAGCCTCGCGAAAAGAACGATTTTGTGAAAAGCTGGCATTACAATTTCTCAGGAAACAAAGTTTTTTCCCAGCAAAAAGTTGGGCTTTGGAAGGCATGGGATCGAAGCACAGGTCTTCCCACAGAAAGATAAATTTTGAATGAAGAGCGAACACAAAACTCGAAAAAACAACATTTTCCTGGACAGGGTTAATTTTGGAAGGCATGGGCTTGGAACACCAACTTTTCCCAGGAACAATATGGCTTTGGGAAGAACAACTACTTTCTTCCTAGGAAAAGTGGGTTTGGAAAGGCACAGGCTTGAAAAATACGTTGTTTTCGCAGGAAAATTGTGCTGCTTTAAGAACCAACTGTCTCTAGGACACCCCAGAAAATTGTGGCCGGCTACCGTAGCTTCTCTACGCTTTTATTTCTTCAGCCGAGGGTGCGGTGGGGTTTGTTTTTTGCTTCCTGTGCCTCCATAGCTTCTTAGTATGTATTTACATAAGGAAGGAAGCAAGCCACATCACAGACACCAGCTTATTGGCCAGTCAGTACAGTTCAGAGAATAGTTTGTTTTGGTTTAGTTTTCTGTGCTTCATGTGTTTCTTTGCTATCGCCTTTCAAATGAGTACAGCAGCGCCAAGCAATGGACAAAATTAGCTAGAACCCAGTGCGAAACTGGGGTTTGTCTAACATCCGATGATCCGAACATGCTTGTGTCTGGCAACATTTACAGTGTTTCCTGGGGGCGGGGTGGATCTCTGGAAAGAGGTTCCGCATTTTTGGGTGTGTACTTATGTATCAACTATCCATGCATATGTATATGTACCCCAACCCCTATAACACCCCAGTGGGGCTAACCCTGGTTTGAGAACACTCCAGGAGTTCCAGGCAGCTCTTGGTGACTGGCAGGGCCTTAGCGACGAGGTGGGTGCTCCTCAAACTGTTCCCCCAATGAGGGTAGAGTTCAACTATGTTTTGGTGAATGTACGTCGGGTCCTTTGAAATTTTGGTGACTGTGTTTATTGGGTGTCGCCTTTACGAGAGATTATAGATGAAACCTATGGGTCAGATAATGCCATATACTTCCCAAAAGGTCTTGCTAGGATGAGAAACTTATCCCTGAACCCTTAAGCTTAAAACAAGCCCCAAACCCCAAACCCTCGGATCCATAACCCCAATATACAATAGTAGTTGCCATTTTCTTTTACATCATCTTTATATAACCCCTATATACTACAGTAGTTTCTATTTTCTTTTTCCATNNTTTCCATTATCCCTATATACCCTGTTTGGAGACCGCCCACAGGTGAAGAATCTCACAAAGGAGGTGGATGACTTGGAGCTAGCCAAGGTAGCGAAGCTTCAAGCCATGGAGCAAGAATCTTATCTCTATTGGGCAACTGCTACATCATTCTAGGGTATATATATATATGCTACCATGCTACAAGGTATACTAAAAATGT